TCTTCTTCTTCTTCTTCTTCTTCTTCTTCTTCTTCTTCTTCTTCTTCTTCTTCTTCTTCTTCTTCTTCTTCTTCTTCTTCTTCTTCTTCTTCTTCTTCTTCTTCTTCTTCTTCTTCTTCTTCTTCTTCTTCTTCTTCTTCTTCTTCTTCTTCTTCTTCTTCTTCTTCTTCTTCTTCTTCTTCTTCTTCTTCTTCGTCTATCGGACTTTGGCAATCCTGTTTTTATCAGCAGCCGCACGAAAAAGTCCTGCTGAGTTTTTTCCAAACCAGTCCCTTTGATTTTGAAGCCACGATGTTCTTCTTCTGCCTGGACCTCGTTTGCCTTCCGTCTTTCCCTGGAGGATTAAATCTTTGCTGCCCCTAATCCAGTGTTTCCCAACCTTGGCAGCTTTAAGAGGGGTGGATTTCAACTCCCAGAATTCCCCAGCCAGCCATCCTGGCTAGGGAATTTTTGGAGTTGTAGTCTCCACCCTTCTCAAAGTTGTCATGGTTGAGAAACACTATTCTAATCTATGGCAAATAATTTGAAACTGTCTATGAATTCTGCTCAGGTTTTTATTTGGTTGCTCAGAAACATTTACCTTGAAGTCAGTAACCAGGTATTTGAGACAATCCCCTATGGAATTTGGGCCGTTCTTAATTTCAGAATGAGCTTCATTTAGTCTTTTGCAAAATCCTAGCCAGTAAGGAATATAGTTGTTAGCTAAGGATGCTGGTATATTTAAAGATGTTTGGCTATCTCAGATCCAGATATTGCAGATGACATCCCTGTGTCTTATGCAAGTGTTAGCAGACACAATGCAGGGGAAGAGTTGACATCTGAATCTTATGCCGGATGCGGTTGTGAACATGGTGAAACAATGTCTTACTGCTGGTAAACCTGAGTGGCTGCTTGTGATTGTGATTGTCCAAGATACACTATGAGTAATATATATGGATATTTTAGGCAGCAGCGGTAAACTGAAATAAGCGGCCTTCTGTAGATTTCTTTCTCTGCCTTGCAGATTTTTCCTGGGTATGTTTTCTGTTTATCTTATTTTTCCTTCATTGTGTAGCTGATTGAAAGAACATCTTTCTGCTTGGCTGCAGGTTTTGTGCTGTGTCTGAATGGAAGCGTGTAACTGATGCAGAATATAGATTGTGTGTTGGTAGGTTCACAGTGTAGTTTCACCAGAATGTAGTATCCAGAAATGAACCTGTTAGACTAGTTAACTTTGTCAAAATTTGCCAGGATCATCCCACCCGTGATTCCAGTATATAAAAATTATATCTCTGGTAAGGAAGACTTCTTTGGAGGAATAAGCCAAAGTGGTGGTTCAGTGAAAAGGGTGTTGTTGGGGTTGCATGGGACAAAGAGTGACCAGTGCAGTATTGTATAACTAATTTGAAGATAGTTCTTCAGCAGAAGTAGATATAGATAAATCCAGAGCTCAGTTGCTGGAGAGAGAGAGAGGGGGAAGTGTAATTTTTATTGTCTTTCCTTCCTGCAGAATTTTCATCTCATTGATTTCAATGTCCTGGCAGTGACCACTATTGTTTTGGCAAGAAGATTGATCATTGCTATTGTGAAGGAAGTGAAAGAGGTAAAGTTGCCCCAGTTGGGTCAGCGATGTGGGAAATTACTGATTCCGATTATACTATTGTCAGGAGCAAGTCTTATATATTGCAATCCTAATCCTAAGCATGTTTATTCCAATTATAATTATTTCCATTATAAATTGAGTGGGCATAGACTTAGGAATTACAGTCCCTCAAAAATCAAATCAGCACCTAGAATTCTGGAACGTCGTTCATTTTCCTCCTAATCAGAAGTAATGACATCCTTGTTTCCTTTTTGTTTTGTGTTTTGTTGTTCTTGTTTCTTTAGGCTTCTCATTCGGGCAAGGTGTCCTTGCCACGCTCCATCTTCCTGGTCACCATGCGCTTTGTTGTCCTAACTGGCGCAGGCTGGAGTCTCTGCCAATCTATTATCCACCTCTTCAGATCATACTCGCTCCTCAACCTCTTGTTCCTATGTTATCCGTAAGTACCAAAAAAGAGGGTTGGTTTGCTTACATCCTGCCTTTATTATTTTTATGAATAACTCAAGGTGGTGAGAACACACACAATACTCCTTCCTCTTTCTACGTGAGGTGAGTTAGGCTGAGAGAGAGAGAGAGAGAGAGTGATTGGCCCAAACTCACCCAGCCGGCTTTCATGCCTAAGGCAGAATTAGAACTCAGTCTCATGTTGACTGGTCAAAAGTTACCCAATTGGCTTTCATGCCTAAGGCAGGATTAGGAAACTCAGAGCCTCAATATTTCTAGTCTGGTGCCTTCACCACTAGACCAAACTGTCTCTCAGTTCCCATCTTTCTGCTTCCTTCTGGTTCTGAAATAGTCCCAAAATGAAACAATCTCATGATTAAAAATCAAGAATCCAATAGCATCTTTTCCAGCTAACAAAGGTTATTAAAAGGCATAAGCTTTTGTGTGCTCAGGAAAGCGAATGCTATTAAATAAACCTCTCCTTTATTTTCTGTTTTTTAACATCCTTTTTGAAGTGGTATTGTTATCATCCCACCTTCATTTTTGGCCAGCTCTAGGTGACATACAATATAGCTAGGTGTAGGTGGCAGTTGAATTCCACCCAGAAGCAAACTGGGAACCAGTCTGTTCATGGAGCAGAGGCATTGGATTTACCAAAGCGCATCTGTAACTTTCTGTGCTGATATATCCTGGGCTGGTTGCAGCTTCCAGATGATCTTCAAAGGCAGTCCCGTATGGAGCACACATTGCAGTGCTCCACCTGGGACAGGGCTGACCCACGAGTGACTGTGAACTGGTCCTGGAGAGGATTCCACCAGAGAACAAAATGAAATAGTACTAAAAGCCCCCAGATTGAAAAACCAATTCTCCTTGGTGAAGTGCGACCCAATCCAGAACCAAGACTCTTTATTCACCCTTGTTCAAATCTTGTCGATACTCTTGTATATCTCTAAAATAAATTGAGCCACAACCTAGCTTTAACAAAATATGTTCTTTTGCAGGTGGTCCTCACTTAACACAGACTTGTTCAGCAACTATGCAAGCTTGCGATGGCGCTGAACAAGTGTTCTTATGCCTGGTTCTCAGTGCCCAGCTCGCTGTTGTGATGTCGCAGCCTCCAGAAGTCACGTAATCACTATTTGTGACCTTTGCTGACTTCTTACAAGCAAATTCAGTGGGGGAAGCAGACCGGAAGTCGCAAAGGGTGACCAAGTGATATCCTTGCTGAATGATTGCTCTGGATTCTTTTAAGGACAGCAACCAGGAAGTGCTGGACCAGCCATTGCTAAGCTGTCATGCGTTTATGACGGCATTGCTTAGCGACCGGAATTCCGGTCCCAGGTGCTGTCATTAACTGAGGACCACCTGTATTAAAGAAGGAAGCATTTATAGTCCTCCAAACAATTTTGGGTTTCCATTACTTTGATATCCTGTCATTTTGGTCAGTGGCCAGCGATGACATAGTTGGACATTTGATGACCATATTTTAATAAGTGAATTCTATTTACGCCAGAATAAGCGTTACGCTACGTTACGTGTAATTTCTTTAAATTACTTTCAACAAATCTCTTTGACATTCAGCAGGCTGCTTCCCAGTCTCTCGCTTGACTTGTTTTATATTTATTTATTTATTGAATTTATATATATATATAAATAAATAAATAAATTGTTTTATAATCTAGTTAGCAGAGTAGCAGTTTCATGTCAGTTTCTGTGAGAACTCTAAAACGAACGCCAGCTAAATTATAAGCTGCTTAGTGTTGGGGGAGTAACGCGGAGGGTGAATCTTAACTTCATAAAAGTTACTTCAGAATTGTTCTCCTCTTCCAAGGTTTGGCATGTACATCCCCTTCCTGCAGCTGAACTGCGATTTTCGCAAGAGCAGCTTCTTCTCTCCCGTGGCCAGCATTGGCCCTCGTGACACAGGGGATGTCAGCTTGCGGGGAAAGGACTACCTCTCTTTTCTCAAGGAGACCTGGAAGCAGCACACTCGGCAGCTCTACAGCATGGAGACTATGCCCACCCATGCCTGCTGTCTCTCCCCAGATCTGATCCGCAACGAAGTAGAGTATCTGAAGGTGGATTTCAACTGGCGCATGAAGGAGGTGCTGCTAAGCTCCATGCTCAGTGCCTATTATGTGGCCTTTGTACCAGTGTGGTTTGTGAAGGTAGGTGGCTGTGGACTGGGGCTTCTGCAGGACAATCCAGTTATGGCAGTGTTTCTCAACCTTGACAATTTTAAGGCATGTGGACTTCAACTCCCAGAATTCCACAGCCAGCGTTGCTGGCTGTGGAATTCTGGGAGTTGAAGTCCACATGCCTTAAAATTGTCAAGGTTGAGAAACACTGAGTTATGGGGAGAGGTGGGCAGACCTCTCAGTCAAGGCTGGACCAGTTCCAGAAGGGAATTGCTCTTCTCCCTTTTTAAAACGGAATGGCCCCTTTTAGGAATGATCCAATGTTGACATATTTATGTAACTCTAGCCCAGGGGTAGGCAACCTTGGCTCTTTTATGACTCGTGGACTTCAACTCCCAGAATTCCTGAGCCAGCTATGCTATGCTATGCCAGCTATGCTGGCTCAGGAATTCTGGGAGTTGAAGTCCACAAGTCATAAAAGAGCCAAGGTTGCCTACCCCTGCTCTAGCCTCACCTCATGCATTCAGCCCCCATAAATACTCTTGTCATTTCCTTCTGGAATTTACTCATCTCTTCTGCGTAGTTCAGGATCAGAAGGTTTTATCCTGTTCTTTTTTTTCTTCAGCATCATAAATTTAGGGATCTCAGATGTGGGTTGAGACCATGGCATCATGGCCCAGTCTTGGAAAGGATGTCAGGTTTGATGTTTGAAACCCACCACTATTGAAAGTTTAATAGTCTCTTAATTTTGTGCCTTAGGCAAGGTTGTACAAATTGGTTTATTGTTTTAGAGCTTTCTTTCCAAGGAACTTTAGGGCTTGTAGACTTCAACTCCACCTGTTGAAGTCCATTGTGTTAAACGTTGCCCAATTTGGACAGCCTTGTTACTGAGGCAAACTTTGAGACGATTCACATATATTATCACCTTTTACCACATAGTAAATGCTTTTTGTGGTTTTATTACAAGTCTGTTTTGAAGTCATCCTCCAGATCAGATTTTAAGATCAGACGTATTTGACCTACGTTGGTCCCCAGAACCACCATGTAATGAAGAACTCTGGAAGCTGGGCAGCCTTGCTGGATCAATCCCGGTGCTGTAGACTTCCACAAGTAATTCCCATTTCCCACTCATCAAAGAGCGGTCCCTTGGAGGACCAGGATACTTTGGGAAAATGCAAGCCTAGTTTGGAAAGTACAGCTGTGGACCTCTTTTTTATTATTACTATTTGTTCCTGATCTCCCCTTGCTTTTTCACAGAGCACACAATATTACGACAAGCAGTGGTCTTGTGAGTTGTTCCTCTTGGTCTCCATCAGCACATCTGTCATCCTCATGCAGCATCTGCTGCCTGCCCGCTACTGCGACCTCCTGCATAAGGCTGCCGCACATCTGGGTTGCTGGCAGAAGGTCGACCCATCTCTCTGCTCCAACGTGCTGCAGCATCAGTGAGTGGCCTCCATCTTTCCAAAATCCATTTCTCGGTCCTTTTAGGCAGTCAGAAACTTGGGATGTACGAAGCAGCCTTCCTAAACTTGTCCTCTTCGAGGTTTAGAGCTGGAGATTGAAGTTATAGAACCTGCCCATCATGGTCACAAATCATGATGATCATAAAGCGGGTCACCCACTTGACCGACCCAATTTTATGATCTTTTTTGTGGCAGTTATTAAGTAGCTGCCATGGTTGTTAAAGCAAACTAATGGTTCACTGTGGGACAGTTTTGCCAGAAACTGGAAATGCTGGTTTCCTGCAAAATCTTCATAAAATATAGTCACATGACTACAGGATGCAGCAAAAGATTGTAATGGTGGGACAGTTCCCAAGAGCCCCGACATGTGGTCATGTGACTGCGAGGGGGAAGAGCTTCAGAATCTCATAAATACCCCCAGTGGAGATGCATTGTAACTTCAAATAGTTGGTAAGCGATCGGTCAGTAGTTGCTAAGTGGCTGGTCATAAACCGAGGATTACCTGTATATCAGGGGTCCCCAACCCCTGGTCCGTGGCCCAGTACCCGGCTGCAGCATGCCAGCAACCAGTCCGCACAAACAAGCAAAGCCCCATCTGCGGGATGCAAGCAGCACACAAAACCACGCACCCTCCGGTCTGCGGAAAAACCTCTCTCCACGGAACCGGTGCCTGGTGCCCAAAAGGTTGGGGACCTCTGCTGTATATGATTCTCTAGCAGTTCGGGATTTTTGATTTGAAAGACAATCTACCACCAGTGGTGGGATTCAAATACGTGAACAACCAGTTCTCTGCATGGATGCCACTTCCGGAAGTCAGTTCTGGGTGTGGGCAACAAAAAATTAGCTACTGGTTCTGCCAAACTGGTGCGAACTGGCTGGATTGGAAGGAAGGAAGGAAGGAAGGAAGGAAGGAAGGAAGGAGATTCAAATACATGAACAACCGGTTCTCTGCATGGATGCCACTTCCGGAAGTCCGTTCTGGGCTTGGCCAACAAAAAATTAGCTACCGGTTCTGCCGAAGTGGTGCGAACTGGCTGAATCCCACCACAGGAAGGAAGAAAGGAAGGAAGGAAGGAAGGAGTGAGTGAGTGAGTGAGTGAGTGATGGGATTCAAATACGTGAACAACCGGTTCTCTGCATGGATGCCACTTCCGGAAGTCCGTTCTGGGCTTGGCCAACAAAAAATTAGCTACCGGTTCTGCCGAAGTGGTGCGAACCGGCTGAATCCCACCACTGTCTACCACCCTTCTCCCACCCCCCGCCCTTCCCCGCTTCTCTCAATGACTCAGGAAAAAATACTCCTTTTCAGTGTTAAATTCCTGCCCAGCAGCTCCGTAAGAAGACAAACCCCTTTGCTGCTTGGCTGTCCTGGCCCTTGGAAGTCAGTGCCCCCAAAGGGGAGGATGAGCAGCTGGGAAAGGGCCAGTCTCTCCTTCTGGTCCTCCAGATGTTTGTTGAACCTGTCTTTCAGGTGGACGGACGAATGTCTGTGGCCACAGGGGGTGCTAGTGAAACACAGCAAAAACGTCTACAAAGCGGTGGGCCACTGCAATGTGGCAGTGCCTTCGGATGTCTCCCACTTCCGCTTCCACGTAAGCTGCTCTCTCCTTGTATAAACGCGGGTGGGGGATGGCTGCCATTTTGTCCTGCCCTCCCTCCACCTTGGCTTGGTCTTTGCAGAAGCGCAGCCAGCGGTTCGCTTGAGGGGTTTCTTTCTTTTAAGCGCCCCACAAGCCCTGGGGTTTCCTGGTGGTCTCCCAGGAAAGGAGGCAACCAGGGCCCATTTTGCTTAGCTTGTTGCCCAGGGGTAGTCAACCTTGGCTCTTTTATGACTCGTGGACTTCAACTCCCAGAATTCCTGAGCCAGCACAGCTGGCTCAGGAATTCTGGGAGTTGAAGTCCACGAGTCATAAAAGAGCCAAGGTTGACTACCCCTGTTGTAGCCCAAAGGATTCTGGGTGAGTATTGCAGAGGCAGCTTTCACCTACAAGCCTCTGAGCCCTCGGTGAACAGAGAATGATGTTCTTTTTGTTGGCTCTTCAGTCAGGAAAACTGTTACTGGGAGTTTTCTGTAGCCTCTATTCCTTCTTTTATGATTTATTTTAGGGTGATTTTCAATTCTGGGCCTTGAACGTTAATTTAAAAGCGTGCCAGGACGTTCATCATTTGTCTAAAGAAGAGAAAATGGGGAACTTAATTCTGCCATCACTAAAAAGGCTGGGCTGTAACTTTCTAATTGGAAGAGAAGCCCAGAGAACAGGGCCAATGATGCCGCTGTTAGCCACAGGGAACTCTTAAGAATCGGGAGTTCCAGGTCCGTTCTGTGTGAAAGTGACAGCTTTCTTACATCTGCACATTGTGTTGGCAAAAGGCTGGTTTTACCAATACACTTTTTTTCTGGAGTATTTTCCCAGCTGATCTGAAAACCACAGGCTAGAAAGTTGGAGAAGGCTCTCTAATTGTTAACAATTAGACAATTGCCAGTAACCACAGTTGTCCATAACTTAGCATGCATTCCTCTGCTGGGCACTGCCACTTGTTTCCCCAAACCTCTCCTCTAATGCCCTTTTCCTGCATCGTCATCCCCAGTTTTCAGCCCTGCCCTGGTAGCCAAGAGAGCAACACAGCACTGATTAAATAAAAAATAATAATGTATTTTTAAGGGTCTCACTCCCCCCCACCCCAAGTGACTACAGTTTCATTCCCCTTTTGCAATTTTGCCAGATTCAAGGTGAAAATTGCAATAGATCTGATGGAGATCTGCAATATTTACTCCGAAAGTTTTAACTTTTTAGATTCTGTTTTGGTTTTGGCTAGTCCAGGGGTAGTCAACCTTGGCTCTTTTATGACTCGTGGACTTCAACTCCCAGAATTCCTGGCTCAGGAATTCTGGGAGTTGAAGTCCACGAGTCATAAAAGAGCCAAGGTTGCCTACCCCTGGCGCTAGTCACTTTGAATGCTGACCAGAGCAAAATGGTGGGGTATCAATCAAATAAGTAAGAAAGGCATGAATGTTAAATAATATAATTTTTACTCTGGTGCCTGGATAGCTTTGTGAAGTCCGGGGCCTTCACTGGGCCCCAGGAACTGCAGGCTGTTCACCCAAAGGAACCTCTCTTCCCTCTAGTTTTTTTTCAGCAAGCCTCTGCGGATCTTGAACATCCTGCTCCTCCTCGAAGGAGCCGTCATCTTCTATCAGCTCTACTCGCTGGTGGTCTCCGAGAAGTGGCACCAGACCATCTCGCTGGCCCTGATCCTCTTCAGCAACTACTATGCTTTCTTCAAACTTCTACGGGACCGCCTGGTGCTGGGGAAAGCGTACTCGTACTCTGCCACCAGAGAGACGGATCTGAAGCTGAACTGAGGGCCCGGTGCAGGAGGTAACGGAGAGCAGCGGCTCCGAGCGGTGCCGAGGGCCACCCGAGGCCGCATCGTGGGGGCCCTCGGCTGCCCGCCCTGCCCTGCCCTGCCCTGCAGGAGAAGCGTTTCCTCACTGGGTCACGGAGCATGCTGGAGCACAGGGCTTGAGAATCGCGCAGTCAGGCCGGCCCTGAGCTTTGTATCGTCTTTTTTACCATTTCTTTTGGTTTTGGTTTTGCTTTGGTAAGGAAAATATCTTATTTTTATACTCTCAATTTCTGTCAGCCTGGTTTGTGGAGCAGTAAGAGCTGTGGCAACCACCCAGTCTCGCGAGTGTTTCTTGTTGGTGTGCTGGGGCTGCCTGGGGGCTTTTGTGGGGGAGGGGCTGGGGTGTGTGTGTGTCTGCATTTGTAAGCATATTTGCAGCTTAGAGAAACGCAAGGTCTATAATCCAAACTGGGGTCCTTCCTCTGCTCCCTCCCCCAGCTCCGTAGAAAACACCCCAGTGCTGCTAGGTTCTTGATGGTAGGCAGCCCTGCAAATCTGTAGAGCAGAAAGGAGCTTTTAACATTCTGCTTGGGTACATTTTGTCCATCCTGAGTAGAGCAGTGTTTCTCAACCTTGGCAACTTTCAAGAGGTGTGAACGTCAGCTCCCCGCATTCCTTGTGTCTGGCTGGGAAATTCTGGGAGTTGAAGTCCGCCTGGCAGCCAGGTTGAGAAAGAAACCCCGCTGTAGAGGAAGGAATTGAAACTCTTGAAATGGCTTCAGCTAACCCTTGGTGGGGTGGAAGGGATTACCCCTTTGAAGAAAGAGAGAGTTGGGGGGAAAGGAGGTATCTAGTAACACTTGGAGTTTGGCAGCATCTTCTCTGACTAATAAATGTTATGAAAAGTTTTTTAAAACCACGAGGGGTGCGAATTAACAAGGGTCACATGCATGCTCTTCAGGGATTGGGTGGCATTTCCTGTGTTTCCTGTGTCTCCTCCCGTGTAGTAGTTGCTTGACACAAGAACTTTTGTGTACAGGAAAGAGGCCTTAGACCAGTGTTTCTCAACCTTGACAATTTTAAGGCATGTGGACTTCAACTCCCAGAATTCCACAGCCAGCAAAGTTCCCTGGTGCTGGCTCATCTGTTCCTGTATCCCAGTTCCTACAACATCCAATGTTTGGACAATTCAGCAGGACACAAAAGCCACATCCTGGTCTTGGATCCAAACCATATAGCACAGTGTTTCTCAACCTTGCTGGCTGTGGAATTCTGGGAGTTGAAGTCCACATGCCTTAAAATTGTCAAGGTTCAGAAACACTGCCTTAGACGGTTACAGGGCGTCCTTGCCTTGAAGCTGTCCTGTCAGTGGTTAAAAACTAAGAAATATACTTAAGATAGAGATAGTAGGGGGGAGTTTCCTGCCAGCCAAATCTTTCCTGTTCTTCTACTTTTTGAAGAGCAGAAGACGTTGCTGAGTCAGGTCAAAGCCTCTCTAGCCCATCATCCCTGTCCTACTGTGACCAGCCAGATGATATTGGCGGCTCCTGGACAGAAGATGGACCTAATAGCTGTTGCTGTCTTCTAGTCATGGACTCACTGTCAGTGCTTGGGTTGGGCCCCCGAGAGCAGGGCCACAACGGTCTTGAGCCTTTTGCCCTTCTACACAGAAGGAGACACAGGAAATGGCAGCCCTTTCAGAAGTGGCTCCTTAACAAAAGCAGAGGCTCAGCCAGTTGCTGATGGATGTTGGCAACAGAAAGGTGTTGCCTTCAACAGCTGAGCCTTAGTTTAATTAAAATAATCCCAATCTGTTGCGTCTCTCTGGGCTTTGCGGTTGAGTTTCCTCATCCTGCCCTACGGCTGCTTTGTTTTCTGCAGCGACAGAAACGACCCCTTGCTAAAAGTGTAGCAAAAGAAGAAGCTGTGTTGATAGCTTAGCTTGTCCGCTCTTCAAAGAGACAAGATCGGGAAACAGGAGTCTCGAAAGGAACGTTAATACAACGAAAGAGTGTTGCAACAGAAAGTTGTCGAAATCTCTCTACTTCGATTTATACCTAACACAAAGTGGAGTTGTTTGGGGCTTCCTCTCCCACTCTCTAATTTACCAGGACTCGGATAATCTCTTCTACCGCGGCTTGGAGTTCCCCTCTCCCTTTCCTGAATCAACTCTTCCACCCTCCGTGCCTTCACATAACCTCTTAAGCTTTCATTAGATGTAGGTCTACCATGTGTGGGCAGCAGGACCTCTTTGCTGCCAAATAATGGCCATTCAGAATTTTGTAACCCAGATTAGATAGCTCCAGTCAGATACCCATCCTGGCTTGGCCACCCGCCCTCTCCAGAAGGCACTCTCAGGTTCTTGCCAATACGCCAAGCTATAAAACATGTTGGCTATTGGTGATTAATTGAGTGAGACCAACTACATTATGTCTTAGTGTGAATTTATTTGATCAGTTTGTATGGCTGTCCGTCTCAACAAGTCTGAGGTGCTTTTCCAAAAGACAACTGGACTTGAAGGAAAAAGGAAAAAAAAAACCAAGAAAGTCCAGGTCTGTCTTGAAAAAGCACCTTGGGGATAACCATGATCTGGATGATTGAGAATCTCCATGGACAAGCAGTTGGGTGGCAAACAGCTTAAATAAAAACAATTATAAACATTACGTAAGTTAAAATACATAGCGACTGAGCTACATCAACCCAAATCATAGGTAAGAGGTGGTTATGCATAACTTGGAGGCCCAGAACCAGGTCTTTCAGTCCTTAGGAGAGGCCAGCAGAGTTGAGGCCGTTCTAATCTCTGGATGGGGAGTTTCACAGGGTGGATGTTATGACCGAAAGGACGTGTCTCCTCAGCTCCACCAACTAGCAAGGATCTCTTGTGTAGCCAGGCCAACATTGCAGAGCTTTTGAAATCAAATCAGAATCCTAACGTTGGAGGGTTCTCCGTAGGTCATGAAGTCCAACTGCGGGCATCAAAATCAAAGCATTCTTGACGAGCTCTTGTCCAAAGTCTGCTTGAGCATCTTGAAAACCACCCAACTATGTCTTACCTACATCCTCAGGGAGACGGAAATCAATTATTTTATCCCCTACTCCAGGGGTAGGCAACCTTGGCTCTTTTATGACTCGTGGACTTCAACTCCCAGAATTCCTGAGCCAGTATAGCTGGCTCAGGAATTCTGGGAGTTGAAGTCCACGAGTCATAAAAGAGCCAAGGTTGTCTACCCCTGCCCTACTCCATTATCTTTTCTCAAAGCTAAAATGTTTTGTTTCCTAGTTTTTCTTTCTCAAAATTCAGCCTGTACAGATAATCCTTGATGTGTGATCAGTTGCTTAGTAACTGTTCTGAAGTTACAACTGACCCCTCAAGAAAGGCAATTATGACCTGGATTTGAAGTTCTAACGGCATCCCCCACTTTCCACCCTGCAATCGTGCGGTCGCATTTTGGACATCCAGCAATCTGGCAAAAGTGCCCATCGAAACAATGGGTTCGTTTAACGACCGCAGCGTTCGTTGAACAATCCACACAGAAAAGGTTGTAACATTGGGCAGTCGTGTGATGACCCACTTAACAAGCAGCGTGACTTAATGACCATAATTCTGGACTCCATCATCATCATGAGTCAAGGACTATCTGTAGTTGTTGCCCAAAGGCAGGACGGGAACTGCTTGAACAAACTCATTGAAGAATTTGTCTAGGTATTTCAGCCTTTCAAAATGTTTCAGTTCCTTATCTCCATGAATGGGAAGCAAAAGCTTCCTGGATTGGAAAAACTGCCCCCAGTCATCTGTTCGCATTCATGGAGCAAGAACACGGCTGGGAAAGCGCTCCTGGGTGCTGGCACTAGAGGGCAGCAGAGCATTGCTTCTGCAAGGAGCCGGGCAAGGGAGATGACCACAGTTCTGCCAAGCCAGTGGTTCTCAACCTTTTTAATGCCGCGACCCCCAACCGGTCGTAAGTTGAGGACTAAACCGGTCGTAAGTTGAGGACTAAACCAGTTGTAAGTAGAGGACTACCCAACCGGTCGTAAGTCGAGGACTTTCCCTGCCCGGGAGCGCCGCGCATGCGTGGTTCCGCCCCCTGCGCCGGCCGAGGCATAGCTGGGAAGCGGCAGAGACGGAGCAGGCCGACCGCCAGCTGGCCCAGCCCAAGGGAGGTAAGGCACCCGCCGGAAAAGGGGAAAAAAATGGCGGACAGCCTTGCTTGGCGACCCCCGTGAAATGGTCGATCGACTCCAAATGGGGTCGCGACCCATAGGTTGAGAACCGCTGTGCCAAGCCCTCAGAGAGGGAGGGGTCCAGGCGCCTGGCTCCCTCGGGTCTCTGCAGAGCGATGGCTAAAGCTGGAAGAACCGGTGGGGAAAGATTTGGGCAAGGATACAAAAATGGAAAAAAGAAGGCCTCCTACCTCAAAACCCAGACACGCGTCAGGATGCCCTCGCTGCAATTTCTTATCCCAGATGGATTGCCAGATAGCACGTTTTATCAGCAAGTGGCTGCTGCCACCCTGCTAGACAGTTGGCAGAGGGTCCCTGCGGTTCATGCCAGATCAGCATCATCTAGGCCTGGCGTGGCAGGTGGCAAGGAGGGAGACCGAGGCTGGCCGCCTTCCTCTGCCACGAAGCTCGTAGGTGGGTGGGTTTCGCTGCCCCAGCTGTTGAGAACAGATCCCGCCCTACCCCTGTGCTTTCTGTGCCCCGTTGCAGCTCGCAGGCAGGTGAAAAAGATCCTGCCTCTGTTTGGTGGGAGAACTTTCTCTCCCCACAGAGAAACCACGGCCAGCATTCCGAGCAGACTCTCCGGATGCACGGCGTGGCTTCAGTTCGGCTGTCTCGCCTTTGAATCCTTGCCAGGGCCAGGTCACACAGCCCTCTGCACACGCCCTGCCTCGGCCAGCCTCCTGAGGGAGGCTCGCAGACGTGACAGGCCTTGCTGGTGCCGCCACAGATTGGCTGCCGGAGCCCGCGCGGAGGGCTGCTGCTCGTTCCCAGACAGACGTGTCAGAACCTTGTGCTTGATCTGGCACGTC